TTTCATAGATCTTTGTTTTTCATAGCATAAAGGGTAGGCAAATATAATGCAAAATATGTCATTACATGAAAAATTAAAATTTAAATATATAATTATACAGGAATACATATTTCTTTATATTTCTTTTTCCCCCCCAAAATAGGAAAATAGCATTACTTATCAGTCTGAACTGTTGTCTCTCTCATCGCTCAATCCCTCCTTTCCTGCTCTCCCCTGCCCCCCACGTATTCAAGATCCATAATGCTAAAATAGATTTCTGGTGGGTAACTTCTCAGAATAATTTTTTCATTTCTTCTCCACCACCCCCACCCCTCCCCAGTATCAGAGACCTGCATCCCCAACCACACTAATCACTGGGTTCAGGTTATACTATCAATATGGCCTGTGGAAAAACCTCTAAACATACAGGTTGAAAAGTTAGTACTGTTAAAAACCAGGCATGTGTAGCAGCAGCTGTCTGACTTGGCATGGCTTTTGTCAAGTTTTCTGGCACAAATTCCACAACCACAGACTTCTAATGGCCACTGGTATCAACCAACATGCTTGGACTAATTCTGAACATAGAAGTTTCACATTTCAAGAAGTTTCACATTTTAACAACTATTTTAAGTCAGTAAGGCTGATCTAATACACAAGAACATGCTCACTGCTAGCCCAGTGGCATGGCAGCTTGCCTACTTTGCTGCCAGCTAAAATACCAGGAAAAGAACAGTGGAAACTAAATCCACTTTAAGGACAGAACACATTCAGTTGGCCAGGGAGAATGCCAACTACAGTATCATGTTTAATTCTTAAACACTAATGACTGATTCATGGCAACAACCCCAAAGGGAAATACTCACCTGCTACTTTAGCAGTACATGAAGCACATTGATATCTTAGCATTTCAAACTGAAAATGTACCCCCCTTCCCAAATCTCTTTTGAAATAGAGGGGGAACAGAAACCTTATTTGGGATGCAATAAGTAATAAGACAAGGAATACACAGAGAAAAAAGTAATAATATGCTTCAGCTGAGCCAATGACAGGCACAGAACTATTGGGAGAATAAATGTGTAAACACCTCAACCTCAGTAACACTATAAAGATCCTGCCAATATTCAGTCATATTGATGCTGCAACTGTGCCTGGGTAAATTGTGTGTCCTACCTCCAGCCGGAAAACAGAAACTGGTTTGTAAATATTCTAAAAATCCTTTTCCTTTACTTTACTCCTTGGTACATTTTCAATACTCTTATTGCCTGAGCTACTGGCTGTCATCTCCACATAATCTGTTTCATAAAAGACAGAGGAAGAAAAACTATCTTCCGGTGGATTGCCAGAGATGCTACAAATGATACCCTCCACTGAGCTTAACACCTGAACATGTAACACTTGGTTGTGGTATTATTACAGTACAGAAATCTGTAGTTCTTGATGAGCAATGCATAGAACAGCAGGAAAAAACCCAACTACTAGTTTTAGGTATGAAATACGTTGAGATAATTACCAATTTCATTCTAAACATCTAGATTCTGTAAGAATAGTGCAAATACTAGACAAGGGATGCCTGTGTAGTTTAAACATTAAATAGCTTGAGACCAATAATGAAGAATTTGAAAGTAGATGTACCCCATGGAATTATCCCTTTGCTAACTCTGCACAGATTTCAGCCTGTGTGGCATTCTTACCTGCTTATAAAATGATCTCAGTCACGTGACAAAACATATAAAGAAAGCAAGTCATAAAAAAGTAAGTTACATGCACACATTGAGCATCAATATTAATTGTCAAAGATTCTTACTAAGAAAGAATAAGCTTAAGTATCTGGTACAAATACATACACGAAAATCCTGGACCTGCTGCAGTTGGGACACTTTTGCCATTGTCTATTACAAAGCAACAATTTCAACTATGGCATCTAAACCCCTTATATTCCACCATCCAAAATTTGCCTTTTAAAACTGGAATTACCGTGATAAATGCTTTCAAGTTCTAATCCTGACAGCTTCTGAATTGGACATCTGGAAAAAATCTTTTAGCTATGCAGTTATTGCGACACTGGAACAGATTATTCAGGTTGCAGAATCTCCATCCCTGGAGGTTTCCACGACTTGCCTGACTGATCTAGTGCTGGCAGAAGTCTTATCTTGAACAGGAAGCTCAGAGAGGCCTAAATGACCCCTGAAGGTCCCTTACAACCAACATTTCTGTGACTCCATGAAAGCAGGTATGTGACAGAAGTTGAGCTCCTGAAACATAAGGAAAAATGACAATGCATACAGACCAAGCTGTTGAAGAGAAATCACTGAACAGGAAATCTATGAACCAGTGTCCCTCATCTCTATCAGATAGGAAGACCCTCTTCTGTCATGGTAAACAGAACCAGCAAGCAACCTATATAACTTCTAGCTTTGTGTGTGGGGCAAGTGCTGAACTCCAGTGAAATCAGATGTTGAGACATTTCTGTCACTCTTGCAGAAAAAAAATGGGAATTTTCGACTGTGAGAAAAGTAAGTGTTTGCAGCAGTTGATGAAAATAATTTAAGATAGAATGTAGTTGGGAAAATCTTTCAGCACTGCAAAGTAAAAACACCACATTCAGAAATATTCTAATAAGAACATTGTTTACATCAGTTTGCTTTATTACTTTGCTTTCTATCTTTCACGTGGCACTCTCACTTTTATTAGAGAACATGAAGCGTCTTACAAAAGAAACCTGAAAACCAGGGCAGAGACATAATGCTGTCTTGAGAAGCCACTTTTAGGGAAAAAAGAAAAATACATTATTCATTGCTTTGTTAAACAATTTTCAAAGATAGAAAATTCACTGTCACTTTATAATTGCACAATTCTACTCAGTGCAGAACATCAAACAAACACTATATGTTAGAACTGAGCTAAATCTAAGGATAAAAAGCTCTAACCAGACTGGATACTCAGCTCTGGAGACTAAGAAATAAGTCCAACATTTCTTCCAAATGAATCCTGTGCTACTGACTAGGATCCCAATCCTTGAGCTATGATGCTCAGCTTCACTTCATGAGCTGGTTCTATTTGGGCATATAATAAATTTCAACTAAGTAACAACTGCACTCCCAAGTCTTACGCTAGAATAACAGTAGGTAAATTGAGGATTTTTTTTTTGTATTTTGTAATCAAAGGTTTCATTCCCCCCCACCTTCCTCTGTGAATAAGAAACATCTAGGGCTGTGGTGATTGTGTGCATGTTCTAATAAGATAAAACACAGCAGCAGATTTTTCAAGCCCTGCTTGAGGATTTAGTGTACCAATTTTATCAAACAGATGGTTAAAGCAAAAGCAGCAACAAAGGTGAAATGTTTCCGTCACACCCTGTATAGGAGATTAATGTTCTGTCTGTGACCAGGACACAGTTACATAGTTAGATACTGGTCTGAGTAAAATGAACTGAAAGAGAAACATATTGCACAAAGCCTTGCTCCCTGAAATGGAAATTTCCTCACTACAGAGTGCACCTGCTAGTGTCATGACAATTATCTGTTAAGGTTAAGGCACTGTTGCCGCCTCCCAAAATGAACTTATTATTCAGGGAAACTCATTCAGGTGTGAAACAGCCAAGCTATTGGCTCCAAAGCATTTTATCTGTAAAGACAGCAGACTCAGAAATAAATGGGCATTTGTTGGCGTTGAGAAAGACCCAATACCTGAAAAGGTACGAATGAATACTCTAACTAGGGATCCAAAGAAAGATTCTAGCAGATGCAGAAAGAAAAGCTACATGAGGTTTTTATTACACAAACACACAGATGTAAATATTCTTCTTACACCCTGTATTTTCATGCGGGTTTCAAAGCTAATCTTGGTAGAGTGGGAGCATGAGAAAGAACACTTTTTCCAGAAGACTCTAAAGAACAGGTGACCCAAATTCCTACTGCAATCTGCAGACTCTGGACATCCCTGCAACACTGTTGCTACTTGAGCTGCACCTTTTGAAAGCAGACGGCAACCCCACACACTTTAATCCTGGTGCAGCTTGTTGCTTAAATCAGTCTCAGAACATTAAGCGGAAGTATTGCAAAAATATTCTAATGAAATTGAGTCTTTTGCTAAAAGGATGACTGATTTCCTGCATAAACTCCAGTTACTCTCATAATTTTAGAAAGCAGTATATAACTCTGGTTTGCCTGGATGTGAGACTAACAACAAAGAATTCTGTCCTCAAAAGGTTTATCTTTCATCCTAAAAGAATAGCTGATTTTTCTCCAGTATCTCAACAGTTGCAACTAAATATTGCATTGGATAAAAAAGAACCTTCTTCAACTGCATTAGAGAAAAAGACTAATAGACCACAGATATATACCTTAGTTATTTTAACAGCTATTTACCCCTTTGACTAATACACTTCATTTAGTATTCCATAAGCCAGTGATTTGAAACTATTGGTCTTCAGCTATGAAGTAAGGCTACAGTACTGATATTTTTAAACAGTGTTAAGAAATGAGACAACTTGCAGAAAAAATAACTGCAGTTTAATCCAGGCTCTGGAGCTTGTAACTGCGAAATGGAGCAAGAAGTTTCAGTCCTAGTTCCCAGGAGCCCACATTCCCAAAATTCCTCTTGACCTTGCACCAGTAAGCTCTTCTTTAAAGTTCAAGCTTACATCTTATCACAAGAAAGGAGACAATGATGACATTCTCCTTATGTGCTCTATTAGCTGCACATGGATCCTAAGCAAAATTAACCATGATAAGCACATCACTGACAACTAGGTCCATCTCACTAGCTCTTTCTTTCACTGCTCTTCTTACAAATACCTGGAGCAGGATGTGAAAATCTGAAGAAACAAGCAGATAATACATGAATGCTATATATTTATAAATATACAATATATAATACATAACATATAATACATAATATATATAAAAACATATATTTATTAAGGGTTATATTCTATTGTTACTCTTTATTCCTGAGTCTTTTGTTCTGTTAAGTTAGTTTTACAGAAGCTTTTGCAGAATTAATGTAACACAAATACTTACATTTAATGCTGGACAACCTACTTCTGGGCACTGAACAGTCTACAGCTGCTGATAATAAGAAAAAACCCAAATGTGAGTGAGTCAAAATTTAGTTAGTATTTATAATGGCTAGAGAAAAGTAGCCAGTAACCAACACAGAACTAATATAACTGATCTAGTTATAACACAGCAATTCTTCTCTATTTTAAAACACGCTATTTACTGTGTATTTATATTATTAGATTGATATTCATATAGTCAGAGAATTTTCGAAATAAGGATGTTAAAGTAAATATATATTCAAAAGAAGAATCATCCCTTAAATGAATTCCTTACAAATTTTATGCTGATGGCACTTAATTGCACATCTGAGGATAGTAAGTATGCTACATGGTAGAGAGATAATAGTGTATTTGTGAGCATGGACTCGTGACAGAATCTGAAATCCCTGTGTACCTCTCTTGAAAGCAGGCATTTAATTTAAATACTCAGGACATCCTGCCAAGCTGTAGCATTTAATAGCTAGGACTGGGAACCCCGTAACAAATTTATGCCATGAAGAATGAAAACAGGCTGTGAACTGTAAACAAAATTAACAACTGTTTACAGATTTTCTTAGCTTTGTGCATGATACTAACTTTTTTAGCACAGTACTTCATACTCCTTACATGATCTTAAAACAGTAACTTTGGCTGTAAGACAGTTTGTGTTCAATTTAGCACTGATAACAGAATATTGTCAGTACGTAGTGGAGTAAGCACACATTCCTAAATCTGAGTAATTTTGGTTCAGGATCTCACCATAATTAAGAAACATACAAACATGTACAAGTTCAGTAAGCTCCAGATTTCATATTTGTTTTTTGGTGAACACAAGTACTTTCTAAGATTAAAATACATGAAAAAAAAAAACCCACCCCATACATTTTTAATAGTTAAGAATACAGAGTAGTAACATGATTTTCTCATTTGTAAATACTGGGCAATTTTTAAAGACCTTAAAACTCACCAATAACATTGATTGTAGTATCTAAAAAAAAGTTAATGAACATTTTTAAAATTAAAAAACAGTAAAAAGACAGGTAGGTGTCTGAGTTTAACTGGAAATGTTCTGCCTTCATTCCTAAAATAAATTCTGTATGTCTGCTGTTGTAACTATCTCCATGATTTTCAGTTCAGCATATCATTTAGTAATTCATTATTTCATCAAAAACAGAATGAAGCAAATACAGCACAAAGTGCCCTAAAATTAAGTAGTATTTTCCGTAACAAACTTCCAAACTACAAAACTTCCAATCTCAAATACTACGAAAGAATTACTAAGTAGCTGCCATATCTCCTTGCTGACATCACTTAGAGTAAGAAACAGAAAGAAAATTACAATTGCTAGAGATCAATTCATTCCCTCTTAATATGAGCTCATTCTGGGAGATTGAGCTAAATCTGGGAGTAGAAGGTTCATTCATATATGAACAAATTACCTTTGGCTGAAAGGATTTTGTTATAATGAAACACCATGTGGTCTCTGATCAGGTATTGATTAGTTAGACTTTGAGAGGAGTCGATGCAGAAAGCTGTAAGATTAAATATATTTCAACATTATAAAGCTGGTACAAGAATACTAACATTTTAAACAGTTATTAACTGCAATTCAAAGTCATAAAGTTAAACAACTGTGTACTTAAATTCTTTGCTCAATTGTAGTTATTCTTCTTTACCAGTTGCTGTCATATGAAATCATCCTGTCTCCTTCCCCTCCCCACCCCGAGTCAGCGATTAACTCAATAAATAGCTACAGAAGTGGCTGAAATTGGACTATGAAAACACCAGCATGGAAATTTCCTGTTTCTCCTTTCTACGCTCTTATGCAAAAGGTGCCTAAAGTGGAGAAACTAGTCCATGTAAACTACTTACTAGAAAAGAAAATATTTTACTTCAAGGGTTCTTTAATGCAGTAACCTTATATATATTTTCCACCTAATACAGATGTGACATTGTTATATATTTACTTATCTTGCTATTTGTAGCTAGCAATACAGTAAGGCAAAAGTTACTCCTCAAACGTATTTTCAGTAATGCTTACTAAATGTAAGTACTATTTAACATCACCAATTAAGCTCAATGCAAAAGTTTTAATTATAAAAACGTTTTAATCATAAAATCAATGAATTCACATAAAAGGAATCAAACTTCTGATCAAAGCACAAGTTACTTACCATTACTCTTAGTACTTAATTGTCCTTTGAATGGACTTGCTGGACCACATCTAGGAATGGTAACAGCTGAGTATTCATTTGCTTTAACAAAGTATCAAACAAAAAACAAGAGTTAGAAAAAGAAAACACCTATTTTTACAGACAAAAAAAAGCAGAGTCTTTCTCCAAAGAACTCATGAACGGCTGTATTGGATCTGTTTCATAAAGGAAAAAACCTTACTTAAACTATTACTGAAATACAACAGTGTAGTTAAATTATTTAATCTAACCACCAAGGTACAATAGTAGTGCTTTCACTGGTTCACGGAGTTAAACATCACTTTAGTCTAAACTTTACACTGGTCATTGAACTGCACAGAGACATGGCCACAGTTTCATACCTACTCTACCCTCCAATTTGTTTTAAAGTTCTATTGATCAAATTTTATCATTATTTCATATGACTAATGTGAAAAATGTTCTGTATGTAGACAATGAGTGTGGTAAGTATTACACTAAAATGAAGGTTTAACAAATTGATGAAAGTGCATTATGCTCATGTGAAAAATCATCCTATCAATGAGAATACACAATTTTAAAAATCTGGTTTGCCATTCGATGTTAGGGCAGTTTGATAGACTGGAAACTCTACAGGCAAGTGCAGATGCTGACAAAACAAGTTGTTATGAGAAATGAAAGAATGTGAATTAAAAGCTTTGCATCTCTTCCTCAGAAACAACGCTATACTGCCAACTCATTGTCACTGTCTGTTATGCAACCTATGATTTAAACATCTGCACCTGAACTAATTAAGTAGCTGCAACACATTTAGAACAAATTTGAGCAGGAGATACACTATTACGACAAATACTAGTGTATACAAAACATTCATTTAAGGAACCCAACATACCTAAAATGCAAGGAAAGCCAAACAAGGTTTCTTTCACAAAAAAAATATACCATACTTACTTAACAGCAATTCTAAAACTGCACCATCAATTTCTACAAATTTGTTATTACTATCAAGGACGATATGGTCTTCCCATTCCCACCTCACTTCTCATCTGTCAGGTCCAGTGTCCACAACTGCCACATGTTTCCTAGCACTTCAAGGCACTAACAGCTCTGGGGCAGTAACTCCACTGCTGTACACTTACTGGCCACCTCCAGTTTTCCACCTTCACCAGATGAAGCAGCATACGGGACTACCCAAGATGAGTGGGCATCTCTTCTATGTGGCCTTCAGGTGGGCTGACAAAGGCAGACATAGTCACATATTCACTGGGGGTTGCAGAAGCTATGCTGAAAGCCATGCCACACACGTTAGAAGCCCCTTAATCATGGCTTCTTACCTCCTGCATGCCCAGCACCTGGGTTTCCAGGGGCTTTTTTCCATTTCCAACTGTTTTATAAAGACTGCTGGAATACTATTGCTCTATTTGAAGTGCAACAGCGTGTTGCACAAGACGGTTAACATGGTGTCTAACTATTAATTACCAGATTGCAGCAAAACAAATAATGCCTTTAACAATGGTTTAATATAATTTCCCCAAAGGCCTTACATATATAAGAAGACATATTGTACTAAATTTCAAGTGACTAGGAATAGTTTGGGAAGCGACAAAAAGCACCTTAACAAAGTAAGTAAAATGAAAGTCATTAGCATATGTGGAAATTTGCAGAGTATTTTCTTGGGACCCTCTTGTGAAATGACGCTAAATCTGGATCAATAAACTCAATCTCTGCTCTTACAAAGCACAACAAATACCAGGGCAATTTTTAATTAGTATGTAGCCTTTATACTCTATGGACTTCTGTGGCTTTACAGTATTAGAGGCAGTGTCTGCAAAAATAGTGCTACCACTACTCTTTGCTATGAAGTTACCAGAGCAGCATTAGGAAAGGGGCAAGAAAACATTAAGAAAAATAAATAAAAGGGAGAAAATGCTACTGCATATTATTTCAACCCTATCCTGGAATTGTTTTATCTTTATACTGTTTTCTTTAAAGCCAAATGACAACATTACTGCTCATCTGTATCATTTTCAAATGGCTCGTTTTAAATTCTCTTTGTGGTACAATTCTTCCTAATCTCTATTTGTGATTTAAACAGATATAGGAACAAACAACGCTAATTTTAAAAAATATTAGATTTCCAAACATACAGCAGAAATATATTAGATTTAGAATGACTGTCTCCATAACAACTGCAAACCTTTGCCAATAAAGGCTTTCTTTCCTGTTTAAGTATTATCTTTCTCTACCATATACTGTAACACACAAGCGGTATCTGCAGTCTAGCTGGATACCCACCCTGAAACCCATGAGGTCCTGAAGTTACCATGTGTTTAAAGAACATAAATCTCTGGGAGGACTTGCACGTTAGATTATAAAATTTCAGCTGATAAATGTTTGTCCTAATGATAAAAAAAACCCCTCACATATAAGCCAGAAATCTAGATTATAGCAGACAACTGAGAATCAGAAGGGTTTCAGTCACATCTAAATATTCCAGTATTTTCTGTATTTCAGAGCCATGTTATAATTCCAGAAGGAGACACATATGACACTGTTAGATAAATGCCTACAACGCCCCCTCTATCTCCCTTTTATGTGACAGAAGCATAGAAAGTAAGCGTGGGCATCTTAAAAAAGGAGAGACTGTTCTAACTACAGTCGATTCTCGTCAGGTAATCTAAATTACTTTGCCCCGAGTTAAAGATGATCAGAGATGCTCAGAAACCTGTTGCTTTTACCGACTCCAGCTGGAGACGCGTCTGTTCAGCACTATAGGAGAATCAGACTATTCCGAAATGGTCACTCGCTTCGCATCACCAGCAGATGGCACACGGATAAACTCCATCGGAAAAACTACTGTCTACTGGTTTTGTCCTTTACAATTAATCTCTATCAGGTTGGGGGTGGGGGGAGTGATCCAGTGATGGAAGCTGTATTGATTTAGGACTTTGAGCACAGTGAAAGCATGTGCATTTCGGTTACTTCGCCTCTTTTTTCAAAACCATGACTGCAAGTGAGGGTTTCTTCAGTGACAAATTTTCTACTTATTTTGATGGTTCTTAAGTAATAAATAGTAACATTTGTCTGAACTGGACTTAGCAGAACTGATCCCAGTACACACAGTACTACAGCAGCTTTTGCAGTACTCAGGTTTCCTCATTAAAATGCACATTTCTATTTCTTAGAATAAAACTTCCAGTTACAAATTGAAGGTTTATATAAATATATTTCCAGAAACAGACTGGAAACTCTTCAAGAGAATTTCATTTCTTAAAAGAAATCATTCTCTGAGATTTAAACCTCAGAAACTGAGATGTATAATGGACTTCTACCTTTGATATACTACCTATTTAACTATGTGATCTAAAAACAGATATCCTCATAGTTGTAAGTGGACACACTTACATAGATGTAAGTCCACACTGAATATAAAATCACTATTCTCACACTGTGACAGATCTAAGGCACACAGCAAGCAAATTAAGTATTTCTAAAAATTAATTGTATCTTCTAGTTCCTTACTAATACTGCTGTTTGCTTATTGCAAGCTTCCCCTGCAAGTATGTGACACTGCACAAGCAAACCCTTTCTCTATAATTCTTTCCATCTGGTATCTAAGGTAAGTGATAATTATATTATTCCAAAAAGATTTTTAAGATATTTCGTTTATTTTTTCATTTTCATTTACAATGCATCCTATGGTTATTTCTAATTTTACAGTCTTAAAAATGATGGAAATTTGTGGTTTCTACTGTTACTTTGTTTCCTGGTTGTTAGTGGCTATGCAGGATTTATTTTTCTACAAAACCATTTCAGATTTGAAACATAAATATGTACTGGAAAGAAGCCCAGTCTTTCATTACAACCTTCCCATAGGAAGGGTTTTAAACACAAGTATTAGACTTACTATTTTTGTAACAAACCTGTACTTCAGACATAACAAATAAAAAATACTGGAAATTAATTAATCAGGCTATCCTTACCCACAAAGACTTGTTACTTAAAAGATAATCCACAAAAAAACACAGAGACCTTAATTAGGGTATTGGATACAGGCATCTAAGTCCAGCACTACAAGCCACAAAACATCCACTTAACTGTGTAGAGATGTATGAACACTGTATTTTCCAAAGAGCAACTCCTAAACCTTAGCTTGGGTTCATGCAGTCCTCAGCCCCCTCAGCCCCAGGTGGATCCAAACCACAGGTCTCCCTAGCTGTTCCAGAGGAATATGTTCACCCCACCAAGGCGTCAACTGTTTTGTGCAAAGGTCTTTTGGTGGCTTCTGGACTCCTGCATTCCTGGCTGCACAGTGACCTCCTCTCAGCTGGAAATACAGGAAGCACCTCTGTCTCTAATGCACCTGAGCTGTACATGTGCTGGGGAACAAACTGGTTTAAATAATCTCTGTGAAATCCTGAATGACTGAGGAGTAGTGATGGAACCTCCTTCAAATGTGTAATGTAACACCATCTGAAAGGGCATAGTTAAAGGAATGAAATTAAGACCTGCAATATAAGTTCCTCTCTTTTTGGTGCTATGATAAGTTTTAAGTCAAAGTAACCACTAACTCTTTATGCTACAGAAATGGTTGTGCATACGAATTCAACACAGAAATACACAGTGTAAACGCTGATGTCTCAAAGTACATTAATAGATTAACCTGGTTACAAAAATCCATCCTGGATTTAAAGTTAATTTTTTAAAATAAAAACCTCATTTTTCTATTTTTGACTATTTTTCTCTTATATTATCAGGATTATACACTTTAAAAAAAAGAGTAACAGAATGCTCCATTAGTAGTACTACTCCCAAGGCCTGCTTTCCCACCAATGTGGCTTACATCTTCCTACCATACCCCCTAAACTCCTTTCAAATTCCCCAGTTTGCTGCCTTTTCCTTACCTGCTGTCATCCTCAACATCCCCTACTTGCTCAGCAGTGGCTAGTGAGGTGCTATAGGTGTTATAATTGGTCATCTAGTTTAAGCTGCTCTGGTTGCTTATGCTTGGCTGACTAGTTCTTATCCTCTAGTTGCGTATCTGGGAATGAACACAGAACAGAATGACTTTCTCTAAAAGAATG